TCAGCATTACTTCTTGGCATGATATTGGAGCATGTTGTCACTGTCATCTCCCAGTATGCTTTTTTTCAATTTCTCAGTCTAGCAAGCAAGTAAATAAAATAGGACTCGAACAAGGATGTTCATTTTAATTTTCCTATTTCATTTCGTGAAGCACTTAAATTAATTTAAAACATAAAGTACGGCCTCGTAGCATATCAGACTATTCATCTACTCAGTGGCGCCTGTTCACTGGGCAATGTTTGCCAGAGTTTTTGGCAGAAGTCTTTCCCACCAACTATTTGCAATGTCGGAATTAAATCTGGGACCTTCTGCAGGCAATACATATTCTGTCTTTGAGTTATAAATCCTGTTTTGAGTCCCTCCTCTACTCAAAATCTGAGGAAGGTCACATGTTGCTGAGAGCTTTTCCATTTTAACTGTAACTGTTTTTACCCCAAGTACCATTCAAACATTATCTCCTCCCCACCCTCAAAAAAAAGTGTTTATAGGAAATGGCAATCAATCATGGCTTCCTTGTGAGTGCACTGGAATTTATATACACATATTTATCATATTGCCATGTTATTAGATGTATCTTGGAATGTATGTCAAGTCGCTGATGTCACCCACCAGGGAAATCAGGAGATTCGGGAAGTTCAAATGAGTATAAATATTTATTGCAAGCTTAACTCTACCAAAATCTGAGCTAGTAATGGTCAAGGGAAATGAGCAGGAATTAAGAAAGCATGGGGTGGACTTAAATCATTTGTGGGCAAGCAGGGATTCTTGACTTATAACACATTTGACCCTTCCTTCAGGTTCAGCCTGGCCATCTCCTACATCTAAAAACGAAAATATTGAACTGCGTTGATCTTCTGATGTAAATCATTCCATATATAAACTGAGGAGGAGGAGGATGACTTACCAAAGGATAGACCCATAATGTGACTATGAAAGATTAAAAAAAACACAACCTAGATCCAAATTCAAATCTTCTCAACCTGACTTGTATGAGTAGAAGTCCCAGCTGCAAATTGACTAGATTGTGGCACTACTTTCCCATGGAGAGAAACTCTCTCTTTCTTTCTCTCTCTTTTTTAATGGATATTTTATGCTCACAAAAATGTTTACAATGTACACAATGTAGGAATGATTGATGGTGTGAGGAACCAGAATGGTAACAGCTAGAGGTGTTGTTGTTGCTGTTTAGGAATTAATTATGGCTGCTGTTAGTTAAGGAAAGATTTTTATTTGCACTTCCATACAATAGTTCCCGTACTTACGTATTGAGTAAAATATGTAGTTAGGCCTCCCCCATCCACATTTAAAGGTTCTCTGTGTTAATTTGTTTAAATGATTAGTCTAGTCCAGGGGTGTCAAACTCGCAACGTCACGTGATGTGTGGGGACTTTTTTGCCATTGCTGGCAATGGGGTGGGCACGGTTTTGCTATGATGCATCCGGTCCGCAGGCCGGCAGTTTGACACCCCTGGTCTAGTCTATTGTTAAATATATACATTCTGGTTATTTTATTTTATTTTATTTTATTATATTATTATTATTTATTTAATAATAATTTATAAGATTATTAGACTACAGGTTACTCATATCAGCCTTTTCCATATCTTCACCTTCACTTTTCCTTCCTTTTCCTTCACTTAGGCAACCATCTAAAATTCAAGCTATAGGGAGGGTGAGCATTTTTGGAGTCCTGTAATCCTCAGCTTAATTTCATGCCATCTTGCCTAGTTTAAACAGCTGAAATCTCTTATGCTTTCCTGCAGCTTGTTGCTTGGAAGAGAAGAAAGAGAAGTTATCAGAAAGAGAGAAAACAGAAATGATACACACAGAGAAAAGATTCTTCCTATAAATTGGGGCACTGGCTTTACCTTTGCCCATTTTGGGTTAACTGACTTCTCCACCAGATTTCCTTTGCTGCATATCTTTTAGCTGCTCTTCAGAATCCAGAACTGGATTTGGGTGGGGACTACAAGCAAGGAATTCTGTTTCTAGCCCATTCGAAGTCCCATTTCCAGAATACTTCTAATGTAACCATTTGGCTTTAATTAGTTGATTGTGCAGACTAAATAGCTCAGTTGCCTAATTAGCTATCTACCACAATGGACAAAAGATGTTTTCTTGGCTCAGTCTGCCTTCCCCTTATCACTCCCTTTTATTATATAAGATGTATTTTTACTGGTTTTGTTGTACACTGCCCAGAGTCACATTTATGAGATGAGCGACTTTATAAATTTTATCAACCAATCACCACTCCAAGCAAGAAGTATTTATTTATTTGCTTCTTTTGCTCTTTTAATCACTTGCAATTTGGTTAGCAACTTTCAGAGGCTTGTGGCTTCAGATTGCGCAAACACCTGTGATGTAAAAAGTTTTCCAAAAGCTGAACCTGGGATTATGTTAATGCAAATATTATCACTGTCTATGACTATCTCTAGACAGCAAAACAAAATAAAGTCCAATTATTATTGGGCTGATATCATAGAAGAACCTGACCTTCTAGGCTTCTGAAGTAACATTCCAGTGCAGTGCTGGATTTATTCAGTTATTTGTTCATCAATTAATTAATTCAATTTATATGACCATCCATCTTGCCATGGCAACTCTGGGCAGTTAAGAGCATTTAAAATCAACATACAGATAACATAAAACCCACAGTACATGCATCAATATATCCTGCTATAAGTGTAACACCTGCTCCTTAAAGTTGGGGACAGATGGGCTTAACCTGTACAATAATCCACTTAAGTACCATAGCCCTCCCTTTATCCCAACCCCCATCCCAATTCCTCTACCCCTAAAGTCCAAAGATGGTGATTGAAAAGAAGAATCAGAAGAAAACAGATGTAGCCCATATTCACAGTTAGCAGCTTTAACCCTAGCCTTAAAACCAGTTTGCTACAAATCAACAACTTTACCAACTAACAGTTTGGCTTCCATGTCTGAGAACACATGCAAGTCTTCAAGACTTTATGAAAAACTGGCAGAATCAGGGCCATCTAATATTGGGGAATATAGTGTTCCACGGGTAGTCACTGATTTTCTGGATCCAGAAATACGATACTCCTCAAGCAATGGGACTTGTAGCATGTTTCTCTTGACATACCAAATGGAATGAGTAGAGACAATCAGGGAGAGTTCCACAAATAAACCAGCCCCATGTCATATAAGACTTTATAGGTGACAGTCAGTATCTTGAATGGCAGCCAATGCAGCTCCCAGAACAGAGCTATAACATAAGCACACCAAGATGCACTTCTAATTGACAAGGCCTCCACATTCTGAACCAGCTGCAGCTTAAGAAAACTCTTCAAGGGTAGCCCAAGGTAAAGCACATTTGTTATAGGCAGAAAAAAATACTCTTGAGAAATGGAAAACAAAGCCATCACTGAGACAACGATCAAATAAAAGAAATCTGAATCCGGGGCAAAACTGTAATCTGAGCAAGCACCTTAGACAAAGACCCTTCCTAGTTCTCAAGAAGAAGGAGGGAGGGGGAAGGTCATTCAAACTTGTGAGGTTCTATTTCTTGATTGTAAGCGTGGTGTTAGCATTCACAACTTTGGTTTCTAGTTGAGTCTGCTTTGGAGGGCTTGCAACATTGGAATAAAACCACTCAGGAGACGATCAAAGCATGAGTGACCACGAGCAGTGCTTCCTGGTCAATCTGGCCCATTGTGCCAGTTGTGCAAAAGCCCTCCTGATCACAGCTGTCATCTATCCTTGAACAGGAGCTGCAAGCCCACGAGGACCAATCACATTGTGCCCCATTTCTCCTTGAAGTAGTTCTCCCCAGAACAAGAGATGGGGAAAAAAAATCTCAGGATCTAGGGAAGTCCTAAAACCCAAAGCTGCTCATTTTTGCTAAGATTGACCTGAAATCTGTTTAATTTAGCTAGGAAGTGCTGGTGCAGGATTTCCAGTCTGCCCACTCTGCCCCACTCCCAAGGCAAGTGTGGATGGCCAGGTGTTTTGGGCAATGGTCAAGGGGAAGGAAGAGACTTTGCTTGCAGCATAAGCCAGAAAAGAAGTAGATTGATGGAGACTGGACAAACAGTCAATAAGGAGGATGATCAAAGTAAGGAGGCAGGGGATCCTGGAATGTGTCTTATTATGCCTCCTGGTATTGGTCTTACCAATGTAGATACTTTACCATGGCTACAACAATTGATCCTTATGTTTCTATTTTTAGTATAAGAGGAACGTGCAACAAAGAAAACAGCCAAGGGATGCAATTACAATATTTAGGATACTACTAGCTAATCCATGTTTTCCTAAGCTCCCTTTCCTGCATTTCCATCAACTTCTAGGAACAGTAACTATTTCTTGATCACTTGGTCTAATCAGCCCATAGGAGCAAAGTTGGCCTATATATCAGGAAGAAGAAGGTGACTGTAGATAGAATGAGGTAGAATGTATTTTCCTAGGTTTTAGCATATCTATTTAATGCTAAACATTTTAGTCATAAGATTGTAACACATACTCTGATATTAAAATGAAATCTATTATGTAAGGTTTTAAATTAAATCAGTAATACATTCAAACCTTTAAAATTAAATCCTTAATGTCTCAGATTACATTGACCAGGAACTGTTCCGCGCCCCCCCCCCTAGAACAAGCCTGCACACTTGTAAAACAGTTTTTCAACTTAAACATTTTGTTTTGATTATCTAATATGAGGGGGGTGAGACAGGTGGTCCCCCACTGATGAATCCATTGCAGAAAGTCAATAGTGAAAAGTCAAGACATTCTGCTTTCTGCATAGGAATATATAATGCAGATTATACTGGAAAGAGGCATAATGAGGATTCATTCTTTTTTGGCCTGGATGAAGCTACATCATTTCATTCAATATCAGATGAGTATAATGGTGATGATTACTACTACAGCTATGCTTCATGCCCTTTAATATTTCTTCCTTGGACTTAGACAACTCCACAGCATAAGAAATACCGTGAACTCTAAGCAGAGAGAAGATGCTTCCTTGCAGGTATCTAAAAGGCTTCAGAACATATTGAGCTCTCGAGACTTTGTAGATTTGAATTTCATCCGAACGATTATATGGGTATCATTTGGAAATTGGTTACAGCTAAATATATAATCATGATTAAAACGCATGTAAACTGCAATAGAAATGCAAATATTGGAAAAAATATAATAGCGGATTATTGTGGCGGCCGAGTGGTTAGAATGCAATACTGCAGTTTAATTCTGCTGAATATGCTGGCAGTTCGATCCTGACCGGCTCAAGGTTGACTCAGCCTTCCATCCTTCCAAGGTTGGTAAAATGAGGACCCAGATTGTTGGGGTCAATAGGCTGACTCTGTAAACTGCTTACGGAGGGCTGTAAAAGCACCATGAAGCGGTATGTAAGTCTAAGTGCTATTGATATTGCTACTACTTTTGGGAGACTCTTTGTTAGATGAATGTTTTATCCTTTATGCTTTATGTTTTAAAAATAATCTACATGAGTTTCCTTTAATGGCATTTTAGGTAGGTTGAGATTTGTTCATCTATGTGCTTATAAACTATAATACCATATATCCAAGAATTCTCTTATATACATTTTCATTGATTGATCTTTGTATGGTACACGGTATTGTTAAGTGTCCATTACTATATCTTCAGTGGGTAGCACGTGAACATGTAGGACAGACTGAGCTACATAAATGTCTGCATGGACATTTATACTTCTTTACAGAAACTTTGCAAAACTTGTATGTTAATAATGTTATGAGGACTATCTATTAGCAGAAGAAATCAAATCACGTGGGTCTATTAGCAGAAGAAATCAAATCACGTGCATATCAAAGGAATAGACAATAGAATTCCAGAACATGTACTCCCAAAACTGACGCAGGCAACACAAAAAACAATGCATATTATAGACCACAGCTCCTCTACTGATTCTCTTAAACCTTTAGTGACTTGAACCTTCACTTATGCTTTCTACTTTGCCTTCTACAGATAGTCCTCAACTTACAATGGTTCATTTAGTCACCATTTGAAGTTACCCACGGCATGGAAAAAAGTGACTTATGACCGGTTTTCACACTCATGACCATTGCAGCATCTCCATGGTCACATGATCAAAATCCAAACACTTGGCAACTGACTCATATTTAGAACGGTTGCAGGGTGCCGGGGTCGAGCGATCACTTTTTGTGACTTTCTGACAACCATGTGACTTACTTAACAGCTGCAGGGACTCACTTAACAACCGTGGCAGGAAAAGTTGTAAACTGGGGCAAAACTCACTTAACAACTGTCTCGCTTAGCAACAGAAATGTTGGGGGGGGGGTCGATTGAGGTTGTAAGTCGAAGATTACCTGTACTCCAGCTGGGCCTCCAGAATCTCTGAGACAATTTTAACTGAAGCTGCTAGGAACGCAGCGTTCTGCATACAAAGCATGAGCTTTAGCAATCAACTAGAGTTTCTCCTCAAATGCATTGAATTTGATCTTTCTATAAATAATGGCAAATTAGATTAGGAGGCCTCTGATCTTGATGCATATGCCTAATTTAGCAGCTCCAGAGAGGCAAGGCTTTGGATAGATTTTCCAGAAACCAATTTATGCCTATATTTTTGCTCAAAGCCAGCAAGATTCACCTGAAAAAGCCCTCGGCTTGGCTTCCATACTGTCACACTCTCCTGGGAAAGACGATTAGGACTCAAACGTTGCTGGTCCATAACACTTTTTGCTTTTATGATGGAGTAAATATTTAATTAATCTTTTCCTGTTCCCAACTATTTAAAGATTCACTGCTTTCAACTCACTAAATTCACTGGGGAAATCTCAGAAGACTACACAGCAAAAACAATGTCACCTACAAGAGAGTGTAGAAAGCATCTCAGGACTCCCTTCCAGATAGAACATCTCATTTATTCTTTCGCCAACCTGGCACCACCCCAGTTATTCTGAGATATTGGCTGAGCAAAATGCTTCCAGTAAATAACAAACACGGTTTGATGTACCCAATAATTCATTTTGTTGTTCCCGTCAAATTTTCTGTTCATCTTCAGATAATCAACAATTGCTTTTGAAGTGCTTTAGAGCCTTCTCCTTCTCCAGATGGAAAATATCAATCAAGCAATGAATTAGTTCTTTGTATGCATGCATGGGCATACATACAGACAGACACCAATAAACATGCCTCAGCAGGGGGTAGGGGGGGAAACAATCATATAATGCATAAGGAAAAATGCAGAAATGCCAAGAATAGATGAATAAATGTGGCTTTTCATTTATGTGTGCTTTTATAAGTACGTGGCTATGTACACATACAGCCACAAAGATACTAAAATTAACCCTATTTTTCCTGCAACCATTAATCCATTCTCTCCACATTTCATGCAGCAAGAGCTGCATGTGATTGAGCCAGCCTCCAGTGACGTCAGTATGTGTTTTGATGACATCAAAGAAAGCAAAAATCTTTTCTCATTTTAGCACAAAAGAGTGTTTCCTCACAACACCATATACAGTATATCTATTCTGACAAACCTTTGCCTAACACGATCACAATCCCAGTGATAAGCTGAGTATAAAATTTCTTTTCTGTTGCTTGCAACTGTTGGTGAGCAGAAGGTAGAATAGTCATCTTGCCCTACAGTGAAATAATTGTTTACATGCATATCTTGATACGAGTTGCTTTAGCCTAACGAAAATGTGATAACTATAGAGAATAAATCTGGAGCATTGTGTCTGCCATCTGTCTTGGAAATCAGATCAAAGTGCCCTTGCAGCTCATTGAAAAACAACAAAAACTTTAAGACACAGGTCTTCCATTAAGAAGCTTTAGTAATGAATTTCTCTTCATCTTGTTGAATGGAAAAAAAATGGAATGGAAGTTAAAGAGGAATCCTGACACAAGACATGTTCTAGGCAATTACTTGTAAGCATGTGGGAAGGTGTCTCTTTTTTGGTGGGATTTTGACTTGTTGGAATGTTTTTTCTCCTCATAGACCAAAAAAGAAAAGAAAAAGAAAGAAAGAAAAAGAAAAGTGCCATTATATCTGCCCTTGTTCCAAAAGGCTGGCTTTGTGTGTCTTACAGGCAATATTGTTCCTTGTCTCTCTTTAAGTACAGTATATGCAAGAACATGCAGGACATGAAATACAAATAGTGATCAAGAAACACCAAATTAAAAACCTCCTTAAAGGGCCTGGAAACAACTAGTCTGGGTTTTGACTTGTATGGCTTACCCTTGCATATCTGGAGGAATAGGGGTCCTCAAAGAGTGCCCAAATCCGAGGCTGCCACCTCTTCCAAAAGCCCCCAGGCCTTCCATCTGGGGAATCACTCAGGGCCAGGCGTTTGGTCATCTCCAGCTCCTCTTCACCATCACCTGAGTCTCCTGTGCCATCTGCATCTCCATCATCAGCACTGTTATCCAGGGGTGCTCCACCAAAACTGTCCAGGGCCTCTTCAGCATCACGATGCTGCCTATAGGTCATCCAGCAACAAGGCTCCACATCTGTTTCATCAATGCCCCAGAAGGCTAGCTCCTCCTCATACAGAGGTCCACACACATCTGCTGGGCAATGCAGCTTACCTGTTCGGTAATAGTTCAGGATGTGGGCAAAGACACCTGGGTGCCGATCGAAGAAGAATTCATCTGCACGGGGGTCATAGTCAAAGTGACTGTGGGCATCTGGCTCAGCGATCCAGGCCAGCCGGGTGCCAGGCAAGGTGCGTAAGGTGCTGCGGTAAGTCTGGTGCCTAGTCCCTCCCACATTGATCACAATACGATCACTTTCATCGCCCTGGCCCATCTCGTCTCTTATTAGGCATGTCGTGGAATCATCCAAGCAAGCACAACACACAGCAAGCTCATAAGGGGTGGCTGCTCATCTGCAATCAGTAACTAACTTGATACCTTAGACATGCGGGCAAGAGACGCCCACTGTTCTTAGCCACTTATATCCTTCACAGCAAGTGATGCAAAATCAAGAGTACCAGTGAAAGTTAATGATGGCAGATTCAACTTCTTTATTAGGAAGTCAACATGCTCCTAGATGTAAGATGTAAAGATGTAAGATGCAGGTGCCTATAAATAGAATATGCTGATGAAAGGCTCCTTCCAAGAACAAAGATTGTGAGGGGCGTTTCGTTAGGGAGGTAAGTATGGTTGCGAGTGAGGAAGATTGCTTCCTTGCTGGGCTGTGGCAATTAATACCTCCAGTGCCACACTGCTGACCTACAAAGGAGATGCACAGGGTGGTGATAGGGGCCTGCAACAAGAGACGGAGGGCAGTGAAATAGGGTCTTACAGACACAACCCACACATACGCTCACACAAACACACAATACAGTGCGAGGAAGAAAGGGCATATACCAGTGCTCAGCGGCAGCGATCGGACCAGATCCCCTGAAAATGCAGAACAAAATTCCTTCTGTACCTCAGTCCTAGAGGCAGAGGCAGGCGCAAGAGGCAGCTCTTGGGAAGAGCTCAACGCAGAGCGAGCTGAATACCGGCGTCGATTTCTTTCTTTTTTTTTCAGAACAGAAATTCAGCGAGCACGTGAAATTCAAAGGCTCTCAAGAAACGATGGCGGTGATGAAGCAACAGCTAATATATCGGGGCGGGGGAAGACGTAGCTAACCATTGCCCAGCTGAAAGGAAAACGATCCCGAAATCCGCCTTCCCTCTCGGCGTCTTCTTCGGCGCCCTCCCTGCTGATGCAGTTCACACTTCGCAGCAGCCCAAAAAACGGGCCTCGCGCCTGTAGCTCTCGCCGCCCGAGGATCCCCTCCGGGGGATCGATCGAAGAAAGGCGCCAGAAGCGCAAGGCACGGGCTTGCCAGGCTTTACGATAGCGTGGTGCTGAACGGACAGCGCTCGATTCCTTCGCCAAGGAAGCGCCTCTCGAGGAGAGGGAGAGAGGGAGAGAGGGACGGTTTGGCTGGCTTCTATCTGTCTTGAAGCCGAAGGTGTGAACGAGATGCGGGGACTGGGTGGCCGGAATAAAATCAAGGCGAGGGCATCTTTATTCCGCCTTCACCACAGGCTGGATGGGAGCCGGCGATTCAGGCAGGTCGAGCGATGCTGAAGCCGCAGGTGGGTTGTGCTGTGGGGAGAGACGGAAGGTCGGCGCGTCTTGCCCTCGCTCTCCCTCTGGTCTTTCCCTCTCACGCGCCCGGCTGCCCAAAAGATCTGGCAAGCGGTGCTGAAGGCTCTGTGCCAGGGAACACGGTGCTGCTGCTGCCGCCGCCTCTGCCGCCGTCGTTCTTGCCGCTAATCCGGCTAGTTCGGTCTCTGGACCCTTCGCGCAGGCGCACTGGGCCGGGAATAGAGCAGTTCTCTCTGGGTCCTAATGCAGCGCCGAGAGAGGCAGATCCCAGCAAGAGGATGCTGAGCGGGATCACCTGGAAGAGGAGCGATCAGGTAGAGATTGCAGCGAACCGGGAGGGTGTGCACAGCGCGCGTGCCATCCGCCGGGTTGCTTTCAACAGGAGACCGCCGGGAGAGAGAGAGGCGGGAACTATACTGTTGGTCAGGCAGCTGGAGAAGACCTGACTCCGTCTGGCTATGTATGTTCTCGGTTCAGCCTGATCTCCGGTTTTATTGTGTGAGAGTTTCCGATGGAAGAGCTTCAACGTTTGGGGACACCTTCTGAAACATCCCTGAACTGTGCCTTCGAATTTGCCGCTCTAGCAGAAAGCAGGCCCTAGGACTGAAGACGAAGGGAGCGGCGTCAGAGAGATTCTGCATTTCTACTGTCTCCTTCTACAAACCTCAGATTCTTATGGGAATTGCCTAAGCGGGAAAGGAATTAAAGTCTAGGTTTCATGTCGCATTGCATTTGAGACACCCAGGTCATTTCCTCTTCACAGGCAATCTATAGAATCTTCTAACATCAACCTGAACATCACTGTAGTGAGAAGAAAGCCCATCTTCATCATCATCATCATCATCATCATCATCATCATCATCATCATCAGTATGATGATGATGATGATGATGATGATAATAATAATAATAATAATAATAATAATAATAATAATAATAATAATAATAATAATAATAATAATAATAATAATAATAATAATAAAGTTGGAAGGGACTTGGAGGTCATCTAGTCCAACCCCCTGCTCAGGCAGGAAACCCTATACCATTTCAGACAAATGGCTGTCCAGTCTCTTCTTAAAAACTTCCAGTATTGGAGCATTCACCACTTCTGGAGGCAGGTTGTTCCACTGGTTAATTGTTCTAGATACATCAGCAACAGGATGGCTGGATGATGATGGAAGGTGCTATAAATTACCAGTGAGGAACTGGCCAGGGGCATCTGAGGTCTAATAGATGGATTCAAGCCAGCCCTCGTTGTAACAGAACAAGCTGAGACAACTGCAGGGAAGAAGCAACCTTTCTACTCACGCTTTCGCCAAAGATAGCAACATCTGACACTAAACACGTAACATTTTTCCCCAGAGAAAATCTGTGTCTCCCCTAATATCCATCCACCATCCCATCAGTTGGTGTATGTAGTTCAAGCAAAAAAGAAAGAAATTCTTCCTGACATGAGTTATTTCTCAGCAGAAGTAAAAAAGAAAAATGGCATAAGTGGTTCTTGGTTTGTTTAAGAGAGCATATATTTGCCACAGTAACAACCAACGATTAGAATTTTTTTAAAAAAATCCTACAAATTAAAGAGGATTTCAGGGAAGAAATCCATCTATTTATGAGCTCCAGCTTGATGTTAGATTTGCTTTACTGAGAAAAACTAGGTTTCCTTGGGCACCGCGTAGTCTCTACTGAAGTCCTGCTTCAGTATAATATTCAGAATATATATGAGCTCTTCTCACCTAGTGTACAATGGAAATCCCGAGTTATGGTATTCTGATGAAAGCCCAGTCTTCCAGAGAGAAGTCAGAATTTATGACGCAACATGACACGAAGCTGAAGACTTTGATTCAAACGCCTCAGTTTTGCCCTATAATTATTACTTTTTTTCTATTGCCTTGCATGGGTAATAGAAATTGAGCTGATATTTAGTTTCTCATTCAGGTTTTGTCCTGAATTATTTTTTTTATTTTTATTATTTTTATAATTCTATGTTCCAGAAAGCCTATATGGCATACAACTGGATCATCTCTTTTATATGGGAATGCTAGCTACATTTTCAAATCCTTATGCTGATACTTAATATTTTGTATGTGTTCATTTGAAAGAGGGCAACTCTTTGCTGCAGTAAAGCCCTGTCTCATCTCAGAAAGCTACTGAAGATATATTTTTTTAAAACCACATCTCGTCCTCCCGGTCCTTGTCCTTTATATTTGGCCAGGAGTCCTCAGACTCATCTTGCATATTTATGGTTGTTTGGAAACATCGGCTTGTGATTTGTCTTCAATCTGCTTTGCTGGTCTTATTGACTGAAATATACTAAGTCAGCTGTTCTGACTCTGCATTGAATCTGAAAAACTATACCCAAACTTCTTGAAGCACTGGTGTTAGGAAAGTTGTATAATAGATTTAACCATGGTGAGATTTCTGAGTTTTAACAGAGTGTTCTCAATATAAAGCACATAAGGCATTCTTCCCCATTCTTCTTACATATGTGTCAAATTTCTAGTTTTTAATTTCCTCCATATGTGTCAAATTCCAGTTCCATCATAAAGAGAAAATGAGAGTTGGAGACTAGAGCTTCTGGAGAGAAACAGGTTAGAAGAGAGTGATATAAGGACACAGAATTCTCATCTAGCATGACAAACAAGTACTATGTGGCATTGGGTATCTCACTTGTACTTTGACCTCTGGTGAGAACTTTTTCTAGGAAATTAAAAAAACTGAATAAAATGCATTTTTATAATCCAACTAGATGTCATCAAGAACAAATAGATCTTATCTGAAAACTTATATTGCTAAGTGCTGAGTAATTCAGGGAGAAACAAATGCTGCTTGTAGATTTCTTTTGCTGCAAATGTTTCCCAATTAAACCAGGGAAGTATAGAGTAATTTTAGGGCATAGGTATTGCACACTGTCTGATTAAAGGTACCATGGAAGGAATCTGTAAGAAATAGTTGAACTCAAGTAAGCTGCAAAAATATTTTTAAAATATTCCTGTTGAAACAGGTAAGACAGATTCAAGTGACAAAATGCACTTATATTTACAAAATACATTTGATAGTCTTTCACATCAGTGATGAATGTCTATGGCTTAGAGCTGTGGTATCTTAGAAGATATAGCTTGCTGCATAGAAAAATGTCTTAATAACAATATAGAAAGGCTTGTTATAAATGGAAAAATCAATCTGTCGCTTTCTTTCTGCTTTGTCTGTACATTCAGTGAAAAAGACACTGGAAGAATGTACTCTACATTCCTATTATTATTATTTTTGCTTAATGTAGTTGACCATTTTTTCCATACAGAAATGATACATGCCATTTAAAGTATCAGTTTAAAATCTCCTCTTAAAATATTCTCATGTAGCTTTAAGGTTTGTGCAGTTTGCTATATAGCCAATTACTTAGTTGAGGAGTATCATGTTCCAGTATTCATGTTCATGTTTACCTACTTAATGGAAGTACAGTTTAATTCTCTGTGGTTTGGAACCATCAACTATCCATTGTTAACATCATCAATCATCTGGATGCTCTTTCAAACAAAGATATGATGTCTAACGAAGTTGTACCAAAGAAAAACAGTATGAAGAATCCATCCATCCATCCATCCCAGAATTAGAGTCCTTGGATCTTCTTATGTATATGTGATAGAATAGATAAAAATATATTCTTATCACAGCCTTTTCTGGTCTCCATGGTTTGGTCCCATTTTGATTGTTCTA